CGTTTATGCCTCCTCGGTTGTTTGAGCGGGCATTGCGGAGATAGAGTACGTAAACAGGCCTGCTCTCAACGTGCACAAATATCTGCCGATCGCTGAGGCGTATGATGATGACGAAAATCCACGGGGGTCTCGTCTAACCACAAAAAATGGATCATGGTTAGACCACGTATATCGATCCATCATCCATGCGTGCACGTATATACATGTAGGGTCAAAACGACCCAAAAGATTTTCAATTCGTAAGCATACCAGAGTATACTCCAACTCCTATTTCGTCGTGCAGGCGCCATGTGTGTTACTAAGGGCATTCCCAACCCAATGACTAGGATGGTGTTCATAGTATTAAATAGGTTGCCACCTAGGATAAAAAAAATAATGTGGCAAGTGAATAAATCAGAAAAGAGAAGGAAACCATGTCTTACATGAGACATGGTTTCTACACAATATCGAAGACATCATGTGAGATAAGTAGTATTAAATTGAAGTATGGAATAGCGGTGTTTGCATTGGAAGAGTAGTGTCTAGTACTAGTTTCTTGATGATGTGGAGTTTATGAAAACCATGTCTAGTATTATGGGTTGGGACTGCCCTAATACTAGTACGTACGTACCTGGGTACTGCCTCTCCAATTGTGCCACGCTCATTATTCTTTCAATTTTCAACCACTACATTGGCTTCCGAATTGATTAGCACAAGTCCACACTAAAATTAAAAGTTTGAAGAAATTAGAACAATGTGATAAAAAAGTTGAAAGTTTACGTGTGTAAGAAATTAAAGATCGATGTGACGGAAAAGTTGAAAGTTTAAAGAAAAAACTAGCATGGTGGCCCGCGCAGATTGCGTGGTTAGCATCATTATATTTTATCTCATACAATAGAATATATGTTTTCTCATTATATTATTCAAATATATTAAAATGACAACATAATTATAAATTTTGCAATAACATTACAAAACTACTAATGTGTAATATTCATATTATATTTTATATACGTGTTAGTTATTAATTATTTTTAATATCATATTTTAGTTATTTGTAAATTATATATATTCCTATATGGACTCTAGACTCGTCTTTTAATATTTCTTTTTTTTAATTCCGAACTTTCTGTAAATTATATTTATATATAGATTCTATGCTCTTCTTCCAATATTATTTATTTTTATTTCTAAATTTTTATTATTTATAATTGTATTTCTATGTAGACTCTAAACTCATCTTTCAATATTCTTTAATTTTTAATTTTGAATTTCAGTTACTTCTAAATTGTATTCCTATATTGACCTTAAACTCTTCTTCCCATGTTTTTCTTAATTTCGAATTTTAGTTATTTGTAAATTGTATTACGGACTGTAAACTCAACTTTTAATTTTATTATGTTTATTTCAAATTTTAGTTAGTTTTAAATTCCTATATGGACTCTATGCTCTACTTCTAATATTCCTTATTTTTAATTCCAAATTTCTTTTTTTTCTTAATTTTATTTCTATATGGACTCAATACTCTACTTCTAATATTCCTTATTTTTAATTCCAAATTTATATTATTTCCTAAGTGTATTTCTATATGGACTCTATACTCTACTTCTAATATTCCTTATTTTTAATTTCGAATTTCAATTATTTCCTAATTGTATTTCTATATGGATTCTATACTCTACTTCTAATATTCCTTATTTTTAATTCCGAATTTCAGTTATTTCCTAATTGTATTTCTATATGGACTCTAGTCTCCTATTCTAATATTCCTTATTTTTTTAATTCCGAATTTCAGCTATTTCAAAATTGTATTTCTATATGGACTCTAGTCTCCTCTTCTAATATTCCTTATTTTTTAATTCCGAATTTCAGCTATTTCTAAATTGTATTTATATATGGACTCTGTTTTTTTCTTTTTCTCCGATTAATGTGAGAATTTGTAGGTTATGAGAGCGAACGTGAAGACTCCTTTTTCTGTTCCTTTAATAATATAATAGATTTAGAATCTAAACACTGCTAAAGTCTAGTAAACACAACACCCCCTACTCCTTAGCTGACCAAAAGTTACCATGCTGGCATGCTCGCGCTGGCAAATACTCCAAGCAGTTATTATTGATGTTGCCCATGCTTGTTGCTTCCAAGTCTCGTTAAATCGCCAGCGGCACGATGGGCGCAAGCATCGCCTGATCTCTCCAAAAACCTCGAACAGAAAGGTACAGAAACTGACTGCGGTGGTCAGGTCAGTCATGCTAGTGCAGCACTGCGACAACTGCAATACTGGTCCGGGATGGATCGATCAAAAACCAGAGAACTCCTGGTACAGGAGCGGTGCGCCGGTGGGCAGGTCACGAGCGTGGGGGAAGGCTAGAGTACAAGCCCGGCCGGCCCCCTGTTCCGCGAAGTAAAGGCGGTGCCACACGTGTCGAGTAGCTGCAGCAGGCTAGGCGAGGGTAAGCCATAGCGCGGTAGTAGGAGGGCGAGCTTTGCGTACGACACGGCATGGCCACATCCGAGGAGTCGTCGTGCAACGATGGACTCGACTCGACGGTAATGGCCGGGGCCGTTCTCCACGTCGCGCGCGCGGCGCAGGGTATTCGCTGCACCTGGACCCTGGCATCCCCCCGCGCGTCCGGTAGCCGGCGACACGCGTCCCCATCCGTCCGCCTCCGCGCGCCACGCTCCACCTCAAATCGCAGGGTTTTTCCCCGTATCCACCCAGGCGCCCGCGGGCGTCCCACGCGCTCGTCTCGTGCATGCACGGTTTCGCTCGCTCGCCCGGCCGCTCGCTCGCGCCTCCGCTCTCCACACCGTCCAGTCTCCGCCACCATACCGCGCTGTGGATTGAAAGCGTGGATCGATCGTTCGTCTCGGGAGACCGAGAGCTCGGTGGCGCTCCTATAGGTGCCCGGCGTGCTGCCTCGATCAATCTTGTGTGTTTTATGTGTGCTGGCCTTGCTGGGTGTCCCTTTCGTCGTGCCGCGTCGCATCTTGTGGTTATGCTTTTGAAGGAAACCGACGCGCCTCGCGTGAATACTAACTCGTGTGTTATCAAAGTCATATATCACCTAACGATGACAGATTACTTACCTTTCATGATTGCGAGGTACGTTCATGATTAGAATAACACGCTAAAACACCGAAGATTTTTTTTTAACAAAAAATAAACACCGGTGTTATTAAGAAGATCTAAAATATACCCAGTTGTCGTCAATTCGTGATTATCGACCTTATCAAGATGTTCCATATTTAGGAACGTTGGACAAGCTGACCGGCCAAGTTCAAAAATATTCAGACTAAAATTAATACTTTTTCTGACAATTTTTGTTTGAATTTTACTGATTTTTATTGATAACCGTTCGATCTAGGCCGTGCTTATTATTTGAAGTAAATTTTACAATGCTTTGGAAGATACTGTAATACTGCATTTTCTAGTGTGCGTTATAATTTGATACTCTTAGAACCAAATATTGCAAAATGAAAAACAACTTCCAAGATACCTATCAAGTATGTAAATCTTACTTTCTCTATTTTAAAATATTAGCAAAATTCCCATCCTATTGCTTTGGTATAATACCCATACTTTTTTTATATAGATTTTATTAACTTGATTCAAATAAATATTAAACTATTACATAGTGTATGAAATATTAGGGACTACTCCAGTTTGTAAAATGTGCAAAAGTAATGGTGTGCTGTGGCAGAACTGTCACACCACCACTATTATTTTTTATAGTAGTATAGATAAGCACCTTGTGGTTGTGCACCTGCACAAGAAATGCTTAACAATCTAACCATCGTTTTGCCTACAACAGCTCGTACGCTTATTTGTAAAAAAAAAAAAGAATAATCGAGAAAGTTTTATACGTGTTTTCAGAGACTCGTCAATGCTTGAAAAAAATAAACTACAATGACAAAACATCGAAATCAATATATCACTTTTTTGTGAGAAATAAATAAAAAATTTAGATGAAGCTAATAAGGTTTTTTTAGAAAAAAGGTTTCTTCTTGTAAGGGATGGTCGAGATCAGTTAACATGAGAAAGTATGTGAGAAAATAAATGATGCACGGGTGATTATAATTTGTTTGAGAAAGTAGTTGCGAATGTACAACCTATGTTCTCAGATAAATTTTATGTTTATATTATTGGGTAAAGGGAGTAGTGGGTATCACCAATGTATATGGCAAAAGTGGTCTATATAGATGGGACCTACATAAATAAACTTTAACTATAGCAATCCTCACAATGTATATGGATACAATGTGACTGACATTAGGAGAAGAGAGAGAAGTAGAGATAGATAATATTATTTATGTCATATGGGTAGTCTATATGTATATTGATACCTTTTGCTATTTTCTTTATATGGGCTAGTTGCACAATGTTACTAGATGGCTGAATGGAATAGTTTATTCCCTATGAACTACTTTTGTAGTACATTGTGGATGCCCTGAGATAAAATTGACAAATGTTAAGGAGATATACACTTGGCAAAAATTCAAAAAACAGAATTGAGCATGTTGGGCTATTGACACGTCGAGATTGTCACTGTATGTGTGCATCTACCAATTCAGCCCACCAGTCAAAATTGCACGACATGCCCCTACAGAACCCTCTTTTCTCTCACCTCCACGTAACCCCTCTCGCCTTCCCACTCGGGTCCCACGCGTTACCTAAAAGCGCCAACCGCCGTGACCGTTCCCTGCACCCTGTCTACAAGAGCCATACCTCACTGACATCCCGGCCACACCACCAGGGCGTTCGGATCCCCTCCCTGTGGTTCACCTGCGCCGGGTGCACCACGCCCTTCCTCGAGCCCCGAGATGGAAAGCCGCTCATCGCGAGAGCCACGGGCCGGGCGCCGGCTGATCTGGGCCGTCCACGTCCCTGCCCGCGAGATCCACGTCCGGATACGGGCTCCCGCCCTCGCTGTCACGCATCCGTGCCATCTAAGGACGAACCGACGGCCCGGATGGCTCCTCGGACCTTTCTTCCCCGCGGACGCGGGTATTAATGCCGTTTCGCGTTGCCACGCTCTCACTCTCTTTTGCTCTCTCTGGTGAGGGAAATGAGCAGTGACACAAGCAGGCGGGATCATGCCGCCATGGCCGTGCGGGAGGTCCTCGCCGGCGACAGGAAGGTGGGCACCGTGTCCAGGTCGGCGAGGAGGAGGAGGCTTGAGCTCCGGAGGCTCGGGCGGACGGCGTCGGCGGTGGCGGAGGATGACGCCGCGAAGAGGGTGCGGCCGGCGTCGGACAGCTCCTCCGACTCGTCGGAGTCGGCTAAGGTAGCGCCCGAGCCCACCGCGGAGGTGGCGAGATGGCCGGCGTGCGTGTCGCACGGGGCGGTGTCGGTGATCGGGCGCCGGAGGGAGATGGAAGACGCCATCTTCGTCGCGGCGCCGTTCTTGGCCGCCTCGAAGGAGGCGGCGGTGGAGGGGAGCGGCGTCGCGGAAGAGGAAGGCAAGGAGGAGGATGAGGGGTTCTTCGCGGTGTACGACGGGCACGGCGGGTCCCGCGTGGCGGAGGCGTGCCGGGAGCGGATGCACGTGGTGCTCGCGGAGGAGGTGCGGGTGCGGAGGCTGCTGCAGGGCGGGGGCGGCGGCGCCGACGTCGAGGACGAGGACCGCGCCCGTTGGAAGGAGGCCATGGCGGCCTGCTTCACCCGCGTGGACGGCGAGGTCGGCGGCGCCGAGGAGGCCGACACGGGCGAGCAGACGGTGGGCTCCACCGCCGTCGTCGCCGTCGTGGGTCCCCGCCGCATCGTCGTCGCCAACTGCGGCGACTCCCGCGCCGTCCTCTCCCGCGGCGGCGTGGCCGTGCCGCTCTCCTCCGACCACAAGGTACACACTCCACGCCACGCCCCCACCCGCTCACCTCACCGCCTAACAAAACACATCGCCAAGAAAGCATGCATCAACGGCATGATTACCCCCCCCCCCCCCCCCCCCTCCAAACCACGCGCTCCAGATCCACACTAATCTAGATTTTGCGGGGTGCAACCTGCAACAGCGAACCCTGCTGCGAATCAGGGACGCGTGGACGTCGTCGTCAAAGCACCACGGTTTCGGGCTTTCCGCGAGATTTTTTTTTTCTCTCGCTCGGGCGGGCCCCGGGGGGGGGGGGGGGGTGGTGGTTACGTACAGGTGTCGCCCTTGCCGCTCGCTCCCCCCGCGTCGCCTACAACAACAACTACCACCTCTGCTTTTCGTGCGTGCGGGCCGTGTCGAAGCGTCCCCGCTGGCTCGCCTACTCGTCGCTTTTGGTAGCGTACTGTGGCGCCGCTGCCGATACGTACGTGCAAGGCTACATCACCGCGCCCTACTAGCTACCACCACGTACGTTTGCGCCAAAACGGAAGGCGATTTGCGGTGAATTGGAGAGGAGGGTGCGGTGGTGTGGTGTGGGCGTGTGGGACTAGGCCGCCTTGTCACGTTGTGTGCGAATGGGGGTGAATTTGCGGAGACTCTCCTACCTCCCTGGCCGGAGTCGTTGGGGGGGGGGGGGGGGGGGTAAATGACCAAATCCGGCCTGGAGTACTAATCGTCGCGGAGAGGTGTCGACACGCGCGCGCGCGCGCGCGCACGTACGTACGTGCATTGTGTACGCCATTGGGGCTAGCTGTCGAGTGGTGTAGGAGTGATAGTGCTCTGCTCCTGGTTACCAAGTAGTAGTACCAAGAGTGTGCCGGCAGAGTTTGGATGGCTCAGAGTCAGTTTGGAATAGAACGGATCGGTTTCTGATGCTCTCGCTATCCTTGTGGGCAAAGGCGAGCATCAGCTTTTCCTTGTCCTACCAGGGCTAATCTGCTGATAGCGCGCGGCATGTGTTTCAAGCTTCTTCCTGGTTGTCATTACAGTGATGCTTGAGATGATGGGCAGACAGCAGCATAGGGTCAGGGCATTAATTAGCTAAACTGGGATTATGGCCTCTGGGAAGAGGCAGGCTAATACACATACAACATCCAAGATGATTTATCCTAGCTGCTTAGAGTTGAGAATTGCGGAATCACTGCCTTTTAACTGACAAGTCAGGTCAATGTCTTCGCTAGGCCGTTAGGTGCTAAATTCCCTGGAACTGTGGTGAGGATCTGAGGATGAGTTCTTCCCTTTGTTTATATTTTGTTTTGAAATGGTATCTAGAATCGTGTTCAACTTCATGGAAACTAAGACCATGTTTAGTTCCTCCAAAATGGCAAATGTTTTGCTGTTTTGGAGCACTTTTTGTCAAAATGGATCTAAATACTAGTAGCATAAGTTGACAATCTGACCTTTGTCATTTAGGAGTCTAGAGTAGCAAATTTTGCCAAAAAGTGCGTTTGGAGCCGTGCTCTCTCTCTTTACTAGTAAAATGGCAAAACTTTACCATGCATCTAAACACTAACTAGCAAAACTTCAATGCCAAATCTTTTGCCACCAAAACTTTTGCCAAGAAAATTTGCCACAACAAATTGATCTAAACAGGCCCTAAGACTTTTGTGTACAGCTATGTGGGGGTTTGGAAAGATAGGCTCATAGGCTGCAACTCTGCACGTGCCGAAAATAAACTGGCAATTGCCAAGAGAGATACTTCAAACATGAGTGTCAAACTGCTTTCTCTGTTTTGCCTGTCCCTTTCCTAAGTGTGATGAAGTTCCCTTTCGCGGAACGAAACCGCAAGGGCTTCTATTGCCGTAATCAACTTGTGTTATTTAGTTTTGTAAGTTTGGTAGTGGTATGCATTAGGAGTGAGCAAAGTTTCTCTTTACAGTGTTTGGCTAGGTCTGGATTTGTACCGCCATATGCCCTTGTGCTCAAATAGTGCAACCGGGCATCTATTGACTCAAGCTACCTTTTGCTTTGTTATTGATGGCTAGCTTAACTTCTTTAGTTTATTGATGCCAAATTAAAGGTCTACTTTTATATAGTCAAAGTTCGATTTAACTCCAGCTCTCTAGGATAATATTGCTTTACCGGTTTCTGTAAAGAAAACTCCCCCATGCCCTTAACAATTTACACGGTGTTTGCATCTTATTCAGCCCTGTTGAGCTTGAATGTACCGTATTGGATGTTTTTCTTAATTAATATATCTTTTTCTCAACTACAATAAATGTTTAGATGTCAGAAAAAAAGCTATCTTAAGCTTTAATCTGTACACAAAGGTACTTGATTTTGGTATTGGAGGCATCTTTGACTATCCATATATTTAATTGCTATATTCTTCAGTTTTTACAATGCTAATGCCATGCTGTGGACACTGGACAGTGCTCGTAGGTATATGATACATGCCTAGAAGGTAGATGTAGCTATGGGGAGCAAAACGTTTGGCTTTTTAGGGTGTGATGAAGTTGAGATTGGTGTCTACAGTAAGTGTATGCATGAACACTACTAGAGGCAGGTGAAGAAATAATGTGTTGTAGATGCTGGTGTGTCAAGTTATATCAAGTGTGGTAGTTGTTTATTGAAGTATCGTCAGGCTGCTGCGTTAAGCATTGTCATTCATCAGCTAGGCGTTTTAAGTGTCATTGTGGGGACCAACCTCGATTATATAGCATGCAAGCCTTGAACTGTAATGATGTTCAGAAAAGATATTCAATAGTCCTATATGTGTGCTTGAATAAATTTGTTAGCGAGATGAGAAAGTTCAAAATATTGGCCACAGCTCCTAAATACGTGGAAGTTCGTGCTACACAGCACAACCAAGATATTGTAGTCATATTGTCACTTCATTTAGATATTTCTATTTGGGGTGATAGGAAATTGGCAGAGTGGTTAAGGAAGGTTGTTGACAAACAATTTTCCTGTTCGTTACACTGTCAATACCGAAAAAGCTAAAAGTTTCCAGTCGCACTTGATATGGCTTGACATATCCGCAACTAGAACATATAATTTTCTTGACATTCGCTGACAGTTCATGCATTATACTTCCTTTAGATACCAACTCTGCTTCATCCAATATGTCCTTTCTGTTAGAGCAGCTTTATACAAAAGCACTGATGCTTCATCATATCCATCATTTTAAACCACAAGTTGTGCATATTGTCTCGTCTGCCACCTGCCGAGTACAAAAACATAAACTTCATAATATCCTGAAATGTGGAAGTTCTGAACTATGTATTGCTCCCTTTGCCTAAACAAAGCCTTTTATATTTGCATTTTTCTCCTGTGACCAGTGTATTTTTGGGGGTTAGCTTCCTCCTTTAGTACTTCTCTTGATTTGTGGTTTCATTTTGTCAGGGGCGTAATGCTTGTTGCAGCAAATGTTAATGAAACTTTTGTTGACTGTACACAGCCAGACAGACCTGACGAGATGGAGAGAGTAGAAGCAGCAGGTGGCAGGGTTATCAATTGGAATGGATACCGTATCCTCGGTGTCCTTGCTACTTCTAGGTCAATTGGTACGTTTTTGTCTTCTGTTGCCCTCAACGTTTTCTAAACAAAGATAATCAACATGCTTGATACTTTTAGCTGAGACTAGCAATTGTAGTATCTGTGAAAGAGAGAATATACAGCTGAATGTAGATCATTTTTTCATATGCAAGTATGCAGCCATTTTGAAAATTTGGCGCGCTCCATTAAAGTCATTCTACACTAGCATAGTAGTAGTGGTTCTTGTGCCAAACTGCCAACTTCCCTGAGATGGGCAAAGCAGACCACTTGTGATTTTTGATAAACCATCACAAGTTATAATCTTATAGATACAGTCATATCACTAGTCATGACTCTAGCTCTATTTTGAATTGATCACTGAATTGAAGTTCTTTCATCTCTTCTGCAATTTCAGGAGACTATTACCTCAAGCCATATGTAATAGCTGAGCCTGAGGTCACAGTCATGGACAGGACGGACAAGGACGAGTTCCTCATATTGGCGAGCGACGGGCTGTGGGATGTGGTATCCAACGATGTGGCCTGCAAGATTGCGAGAAATTGCTTAAGCGGGCGGGCAGCTTCCAAGTACCCAGAATCCGTCTCCGGGAGCACCGCAGCCGATGCTGCCGCCCTGCTGGTCGAGCTCGCCATCTCCCGTGGCAGCAAGGACAACATCAGCGTCGTCGTGGTCGAGTTGAGACGGCTGAGGAGTAGAACGACGGCGAGCAAAGAGAACGGTAGGTAGCGTGTAGAAGTTGGAGCGGCTGTCACAGCATTTGAGCATGGCGAGAGAGGAAGAAGCTAGAGGATTTGCAGCTGAGTTTGCTGGGATGTTTGTAAAGAGAAGGCTCAGGATATTATTCCGTCCATAGAGCTGCTCCGATGTCGTGACCGATGAGCGTGTGCTATTTGTAGCTGAGATGCTGTATTGCGTTGAGTTGGGTTCTTTAGTTCTTAAGCTGACATTTCGGCCGAGGCAGCATGAAGCATGTGCTGATTTCGTCTGTTCTGATCATTGGTTATCTCTGTCTCTCGTGTCATGTGCTTGCCTTCTTGGTGTCGGATTAACGCCTTTTGGTCACTGTTACTGCCGTCACGTTGCCACCAGATCTTTCAGTGTGGTCGTCGGGTGTTTTGTGCCCTGACACTGAACTTGACTAAACTGATGCAGCAATCGCATGTGGGTGGTCCCTTCAGCGGTTCAGCCTGCACTTGGATGCTCATGCAGTCATGCCAAGCAGTTCATCATATCCGTCGTCGAGTCGCTTTGCCTGGCTCTCTGCAAGTAGACGATCAACAAACTCCCAACCCACGCTTGAATGAGCGGTGTCGTGACTCGTGAGGGGATAATCTGTACGATCTACTTCAGTAGTATGATTCGTAGAGAATAAGGTTAGTAGGAGATCAGGCAAAGTGCACTTGGGAATTGGGAGTCTTGGTCCTCTTGGAGAGTCAGCTGCTTGGACTCCTTGTTCTGAAGAAACGCGGAGCCAGCTGGTCTAGGTTGAGTCGGATTCTTCTCGCCTAGGATTGCACAGCAGAGCCATAGAGAGCACGTACAGGGTGCACCGTGCCATCGTGCCCGGCGGATGGCTTAGCAGGCCAGCCGGCCGGCAGGCGTGGGAGAAGCGGGACACGGGCGCGGGTAGAATTCTGCGCGACGCGTGGCCGCAGGGCCGCTTGATAGAGTGCGAGTCTTTTGGTCTGGTCGCGTGTCGCGACGGCGAGCGAGGCGTCCGAACTCCGAAGCGATCTTGATCGGGCCAGGGATTTCCTGTGTGGGCTGTAACCAAAGGGAGGGGGACAGGCCTGGCCGGCCGGTTGGCTGCGAGGCCCAGCCGCCAAGGTGCGCGTGGGTCTCGGCAGCGATATTCATCACTAGGAATAAGTTCACCTTGGGTCTCTCTATTTGTCGCCCAGTCCCTATTTTCGTTCCTTGGTCGCAAAACGAATTTTTTTCGGATTTAGATTTTTTTTAAAATATTTACAGAAATAATCTATCGACCAAAAAAATTGCAGAAATAGCCCCTACCGCCCACCTCTGGGGCGGCAAGCTGACGTGGCAAACGGGGGAGGAACGGACGGTGACGGAGGGAGGGTTTTTTGCAGGAAAACCCTTGCCGCCCTCTGGTGGGGCGGCAAGGGGCCCGAATGCAAAAAAGCCAGTCGGGGCCGGCTATTTTGCAGGCGGCCCCTTGCCGCCCTCTGGCCGGGCGACAGGCCTCGCTGCCTATAAAAGGCCTGCTGCCCAGCCCCAAGCCCTCATTCTTCTCTCCTCAATTCCAGTGAAAAAAAAAGAAGAGAGGGGAGGAGAAGAGAAGAAGGGGCGAAGCCCTGCCGGATTCAGACGCCGATTTCAGGTAATATTCATAGATCCTATATGTGACTATTGAGTTAAATAGTGTGTATTCTTTAAAAATTTGTTTGAATAAATGCATTATATTTTTAGGGTTTTAGTTGTACTAATCTAGAAGTGCGTATTGTAGATATCGGTAACTACGTAGATCTGCTAGTTTGGAATTAATACATTACCGTTGCATTGGCTTACACAAGAAGATATTACGTTGTAGATGTTTATTGCATGAAAGAGTAATATGATCTAGTTATTTCGTTGACAGATATGTCGAACAAACAAATATTCCAAGTTTACCATGGACCAGGAAACGTCCGTTACGGGCCAACTGGGGTAGATCTGTCAGATTTTATTGTATCAGAAAGGGGAATTGAGAGACCGGCTGAGAGGAGTGTACCTTCTATAAAAGGATGGTTAATGAGGGGCTTGAGAGTTGATCCACAGACAAGTGACATAACAATCAATGTTATAGTAAGTCGGGCAACTGAGGGTTTTTATTGGGAACTAATGCCAGTTCAAAACTCTCGAGTGTGGAGATGGTATTTGGAAAATGCATTGCAACGCGGGTGGCCTCTAGCTTTGGTTCCGTTTGTTCACCCGAAGGATCCAGGTGTGCAGACGAACATGGATGATGGCGAGGTACCAAGTGCTGAAGTAAACGAGACTTCTGTGGAGGAGGTCAACGCACGAGAGGACGGGGGCGTAGTAGCTCCAGTGGGCATTCAACCAGGTGGAGTGGCTGACGAGGGGGAGACTGTCGGTGCCATTGTGGATGAAATGGAGAGGGAGGATTCTGACAACGAGCGTGTAGAGGAAGGTGATTCGTCAGATGATGAGACGGATATTAATCCAGCAGAATGGGCTAGTGAGGATTTTTCTGGGCTGATCGTCTCTGAAGAGGATAGTGTGAGATGGGAGTACAAAGAAAGTGAGGTTATTCAGGGAGCGATTTATAGTAGAGCAGAAGATATGAAGGAGGCGGTAAAACATTTTGCAGTGTCACTTCATAGAGAGTTTTGGGTTGCCAAGTCGAACCGGTCGCAATATGAAGTTCGGTGTGTTAAGGAAAAAGATGGTTGTCCCTGGAGAGTGCACGCGTATAAGGGGAAATGGAAGGATTATTGGACAGTGTCAGTTGTTACCAAGCATACATGTTTTCTACCTGGTGTTCAGAAATACCACAGGAACATTACATGTGCATTTGTTGCATCTGAGATGTATGCGCATGTCATCGATAATCTCACATATGAACCAAGGTCAATAATCCGACACATTGAAGAGACATACAAGTATACTATTAGCTATGCCAAGGCCTGGAGGGCCAAACAGAAAATAATAGAGATGAGATTTGGAACTTACGAAGCCTCGTATGACAATTTGCCACGCCTGCTTGGTGTTATCGAGGAAAGAAACCCTGGGAGCTCTTACGAAGTGAAGAAATTCCCCTCAATTGAACATCCTGGCAAGAGTGTACTGCAAAGGGCGTTCTTAGCTCTACATGCATGCAAGATGGCATTCGTGAACTGTCGTCCTGTTCTCTGCATTGATGGGACATTCTTGACAGGAAAGTATCGGGGCCAGATACTAACAGCAATAGGGGTAGATGGGAACAATCAGGTATTGCCCTTGGCATTTGCTTTTGTTGAGAGTGAGAATACCGACAGCTGGTACTGGTTCCTGAAATTGGTTAAAACAAAAGTTGTTGGTATGAGGCCAAATGTATGCCTGATACATGATAGGCACGCTGGCATTCTGCGAGCGATAGGAGAGTTGCAGTTTGGGAGTATGGAACGAGGATACCCCGGTGTTTGGGAAGATGTACAGAGTAGGTGGTGCATGCGTCATATGGGAGCTAATTTCTTCAAGCAATTCAAGAACAAGGAGCTCATGAACATGTTCAAGAGGCTGTGCAATCAGAACCAGGAGAAAAAATTCAATGAGCTTTGGAAGAGCTTTGCCCGCCATTTGGCGCATACGACCAATGTAACTTTCGGCGCCGATCATGCATGTATCTTTCGGCGCCAATCAGGCGTACCCACCATACCCCACCACGTTCACATGTCAGGGGTATCACTCGATTTTTTGCGTCTATATAAGTCGCCTTAACGAGTGAGGCCTCACAATCTTTCAGAACTCAGTCACATTCAGTACTCTCTTCCCCACTTGCTTCATTACAAATCCGACCGGCTTTCGTCAATGGCTAGACGCCGGGGTGTTGAGGATCCAAACTGGCGTAGCGATCCTTGTGTATACCTACTACCACCTTGGTGCCAGCGTCCTCTCTGCCTATGCGGTGATCGATGCCAACTAATGGCTTCGAGGAATCCTGAAATTCGAGGAAGGCGCTTTTTTAGGTGCCCTAACTATGACCGTGAGGTATTTTATTATCTGTATATGCTTATTCATTCCGTATGGGCAATCGCTTTATTCTTCGTAACACTACTCTATTCGGCAGACCCGCACTACGGCTTGCGCATACATCGAGTGGGTCGATACAGAAAATCCCGTTCTCGACCTAACCACTTGTTTACAAGAAGGTCGCTGGTATTTCGCATCCGAAAGTACTGAGCAATACTTACAGAGAAAAGCGGCTTATGAACGACAATGTCGTGAACAACAGAGCGACTGGCGGGTGCTAATGTCACACCCCGAAGTTTTCCTCCCAAGCCAAAATTGTAATTTATAAATGACCCTAAGAAAATACCGGTGCAAATCAGGAGAAAACCCTAAGAAAGTAATGCAAATAATAATCGGATTTGACATGTGGAATTTTTTCCTTGAGTTCTACATGTCGAAACTCATTAACAGGATTTTTAGTGGAATTTTCAGAGCTCTAGAAATAATTTTAACCAATTAAAATTGAGCAAGAAATATTTTAATTCCAGGGAAAATCCTTTTTCCTTTTTCTTTTTCTTTTCCCTCCCTTTTTCCTCCTTTTTCCGAATGGGCCGCCGGCCTATTCCCTCCTTCCTTCCCTCCCCCTTACTGGGCCGGCCGCAGGCCGAGGCCCAGCCAGGCCGCCCGCCGCCCTCCTCTCCGGGGTCGCCGACAGGTGGGGCCCACCTGTCGGGTCCTTCCCCCACCTCCCGCCGATCCCGCTCGCGCCGCCGCCGCCGCAACCGTCGCCGCGCCCACGTCTCCGCCTCCTCCGGGCCACGTCGACCACGCCCGCGCGTGCGCCGCGTCTCCCGCGCCCACTCCCCTCTCTCTCCCGCTCGCGCCCGCGCCCGAGATGGCCGGGATTCGAAAATCGAATCCCGCCTCTCTCTCCTCCCCCACTCCCCACGTCGGCCGGCGATTCCCGCCTCTCCCGGCCACGTCCGGTTCCCTCTCCCCCTATTTAAGCATCGCCGTCGCTCCCTCTCGCTTTTTCCCCATTTCGCCGCACTCTCTCGAGCCTCCCATCGCTCCCGCGCCGTGCAACCCTTTGCCGCCGCCATTTTCGCTGCTCCGGCCGCCGCTAGCCGCCGCACCACGCCGTCGCCGCCGTCGGGTTCGCGTGGCCGAGATCCACCCCGTCCACCCCTCCTCCGTCGAGGTTCGTCGCCGGAACCCTCGTTCCCTCGCACTCGGGTGAGCACCACCTCCACCGCCGCGTTCGGCCATGGTTTCCGGTCGCCGTGGTCCATCTCCCTCTCTCTAATCCCTCTCTTCTCCTTCCTTAGGGCACCCCGAAGCTCGTCCGCC